AGGCCGATCTCCAACATCTATAAACAAAGATGCTGATGGGAGCAGCACAGCTGATATTTCTCTCGACAATAAGCTTATAGATGTTGTTTAATATCTGTTTAGAGTAGAATATCAAAGATAAACAACAAATGTACTATTTATTTTGCGATGTCACAAAAAAGGTTAGACAAATAAAAAAGGAGTGTTTATCAAGTAAATTAAGAGGATTAGAAAATAAACGTCTGGACTCAAATTCCACTTAAGCCTTTAATCCCAGCCGTCCGTTTACCTCAGAGGCTTCTTGGACAGCGGGCAGACCAGTACTTCAAGCAGGGAGGAGTTGAACGGCGGCTGCACCTCGTCCTTCACCTCCGCAAAGTTCCTCACCGACCCACGGCAGGCTGTCAGCGTCAGTTTGAAAGGAGCGGGATTTACATGACAGTGAACACGAACCGTTTCTGTCACCAACCTGCTCAGGACATTCCTCAACATGACCAAACGACAGCGATAAACGAGCTCCTCTCCTACAGGAAGTGCTGAGTTTGGTCCGACTGGGATATAAGTCCGGTCAGTAGACTGGAGTCTAAAAGGTTCCGTGGCAGACCGTCTTAATAATTATATAAAGAAATTGAGATTTGTTTCAATTGCTGTTCTACTCTAATTTTATCTGTTTTTTATTTTTAGAATTTAATTAAACTAAACTACCATAAATTTCGACCCTCTTGTATTTCATTTCAGTCGCTGTTACCACGTTTCACCACACGATGGCGATATTTCCCTTCATTTTAGCTGAACCCCCGTTTGACTAAAGGAGGATATGGGTGGTTCTGTAAAAAACCTTTTTTTTTTTACACAAATGACACATTTAACGAAGTTTACACAGCATATTCTAAATATATTTAATAACTTATAAGATATCTGTCGCTCAAACCTTCATTTAATTATTTTTTTCCTCACATAATAGCAGTAATAACCTTGGTTACATCTGTTGTAAGGAAGAAACTATTGTAGAAGTAAAGTTTGTGGACTTTTACAACAGCTGACATTTGTATTCTAGTTTTATTAAAGCCCCCTAGACCTTGTGAAATGACTTCCCAGAAAGTTAAATCAATATAATAATAAATATTGTCAGTGACTCTGCAGCCGACAGAGGCAGAATACGTTTTACAATCCGTATGGCTGTAGATATTGCTCTGAGACCTTCCTGGAAAGGCTCCAAGTTGTTTTAAAAACTGCCTCCAGCTGTAATATATCCTGCCACCAGGTACATAACCAAACTACTATTACATTGTTTTTCTTCTTCTTCTTCTTCTAGTCACCACAGGATGGTCTTGAGTCAAACAGCTCTACACCTTCATTCTCTCTTCTCTCTTATTCTCTTTTTTTATTATCTCCTTTTTTTTGCAGGGACCTGTTAATTCATGAGACATATCCATCAACTCTGACAGATCTGTGGAATGTTGGGCACACCACAAGCTTTCAATGTGGCTCTTGGTTTAAATGGTTTAGAGCTCCTTTGACTTTTTAATGAAATAAAACATTACAAACCCCCACAGCAAAAATTCTCAAAGCAATCTTACCTTAACTTTAAAAAAACATAAGTATATTATTTCTGATTTACGATTTAGCTTTTGTTGCCAAGGTTTTTAGAGTTTCTAATATTAGTTTTTTATGTTTGGATTACGAATTTTAGTGTAAAACACCTGGAAAAAATCCATCTATTAAAGTTTCTAAAGATATGCTGCAGATTTCAGAGGCAGGCTGATAGAATGTAAGATTTCAAACAGCTTTACTCATCCAGGGGTTTAAACCTTTGCTCATTTTTCTCACAATCTCTTAAACTTGGCCAGATAGCATAGAATGGGGCTGTGAACATTTCATCTCAGATATTCTTTACTTTTCTGTCAAGATACTAAAAGGTTAAATTTTGGTCTCATCTGACCAGAGCAACTTCTGGAACAGGTTTGGCCTATCCTCCGCTTGACTTCTGGGGTTACTTATAGTTTTCATTTTAATTCAGTTCGATTCAGTTTATTT